GACCGAAATTCTGCGTCCGGTGAGTTTAGATTTAGATCTATATACTCACCTTAGTTTTAGATATTCGCCTTAGCCTATCTTAGCCTCCGGCTAATCTCATGGAGAGGGTGATGGATAGAGAGAGAGGGAGGGTTAAGTTTAGATCATGAGGATATCCGATGATATCCGATGCCCATGCCCTCAGATCTAAACTCATGAGGATCTATGCCCTCTATGCCCAATGAGGATGCCCATCTATGCCCTCAGTCCGATGCTGATCTCCATCATGAGGTTCTCAGATCTGCTCCCGCAGGCCAAGGGCCTCACCCAGTTCGAGCGCCCCGCCTGACCGTGCGGCACGCTGCCGAAAAGAGCGCCACGCGGCACGCGGCACGTGGCACGCGGATGCGGACCCGGAAGCGCGGAGCGGTACCAGGTGGAGGGGAAGAACTGGCAGAATCTGCATCGTCATTTCATCGTCATTTTGTGTGATTTTTGGTCGTCTCTAGGGATAGCATGGGATAGGGAGAAGTGTCGGAAATGGAGCAGGGCGTTTGTTGAGCCCATGCCTTTCAGAATTCAATGTTCACGACACGATTCCCATGCGATGTCCTGCCACTGCACGCATGGGAGACCACCTTGACTGGCTTAGACCATCACAATCTGTCAATTACTTTTGTCGTTAGCGCGCATCCCTGGCAGAACCAGTCCGATCTCGCTCTAGGCATTCCAGTGTGGGCCGTTGCAAATCTCACGCTGGCTTCAGGATGGATACGAAAGAGGACGCATTGCATATCATTGCATGAACAACAAGCTGGTCAGCCACACCTAGCTCAGTGGGAAGCAGGTACCCCTTCCCTTTGACAATGAGCGAACTTGTGAATGATCCCATGATACAGCAGCATAGTGAAACCAAGAGAGCCATTTTGCAGCAAGCCATGCTTGATAAGAGGGGGCGGCCACCTGGAATCTGGGCCAACAATGTCTTCGTCCTTCTAATCAGAAAGTCAAACTCAGGATGCAATTTCACGTTGAGACAGTGTCATGTTTCAAGCTCGATTTGGGAGTTACCAAGCCTCTTATTAAAAAGAAGAACAAGCTATCCTGTCGGATCGACCGATCGTTTTAGGATCAGACCTGCCGGCCGCCCGTTTCACTCATGGGACTTCACTCGACCTGACGGGAGCCCAGTATAGCCCAGTTCTCAGTGCGTTCGTCCAGCTTGGATCCACATTTCAGTGGTCGGTTCCGTGCTTTGAGACGTCGGTTCCGTCGCGCAAACGACCGGTCGTGGAGATGTGAAAGTCCATCCATCCGACTGAACTGGTTCCAGCCGGCCTGAAGAGATGGAACGCACACCCTCAGGTACACCCAGGACCCACCCTTTCGCCTCCTCTTGGAGGGGTGGAGCGGAGAGAGATTTGGGCGAAACTGCGGGTTCTTTCCAGCGGTTACCAATGATTTCCTTGTCCAAGATCCACTGCTTCCAAGATCTGGAAACCAATGGCCTGGCATTCACTATCAAGAAGAGACCAAAAGGCGTCAGAAGCAGCTCCAAAAGGGATGACACTCCTTCACCCCGGAGGCTCCGCCTCCTCCTCAGGGGGCGTCCGAAATCCAATGGTGGCCGAACTGGAGGGCGCTGTGGACCTCGTGGACTTGACGCACCGCGTCAAGGAGGCCGAGGGGACCCGTCGGTTCCTGGCGCCGGTTACGGGTCGGTTGCTACTAGCGATGGCCTGGCGTTCCTACAGGAGCTTCTAGTTACTAGTAATGGCCTCCAAGCTGATAGCGAGGGCCTGGCGTTCCTAGGAGCTTCTTGCTACTAGTAGCTTGTCACTAACTAGTATAACTAGTAGTAATGCCAGGGCCAGGAGCTACTACAGTAGATGGACCAAATATTCAAACCCATGTATCAATAACTGTCGC